GTACGTATACAGAAAAAGAATCCCTTGGTATCCATGGGAGTTGGTTCCAGGATTTCTATGTAGATACCAAAATCCACAGATGCTTAAGTCCTTTGTATAAAATGGCATAGTATTTGCATATAACCTGTGAATATCCTCCTATACTTTTTGTTATCTCTAGATTACTTATAATACATAATATAATGTAAATGCTATTAAATAGTCATTATTCTATAATGTTGGAATAATGAGAAATCTGTAGATGTTCAGTACAGATGCAGTTTTTTTTTCAAATATTTTCAATTTATGGTTGGTTGAATCCATGAATGTGAAATCAATACATATAGAGTTTCAACTCTGCATTTTTAAATATTTGCAAGAATACCTGCCAAATATATATAGTGATATGGAGAGTGGAAGAAGACACGCAGCATTTTTCAAATAGTATGTACTATGGTAGAAAGTAAGAACAGTAGGGTAGAAACTTAGAAATGACTAGTTATATGAGTTCTTGGTGTTATAATCATTTAACTTTGAAATGTTTTATCTATGTATATATTAAAGCCTTCCTTCAGGAATTCCTCTTTTTGTTTTTCTGTATTATTTTATAAGCACATCTGTCCTTTCCTAGCCCTTTCAGATATCTTCTCACCTTTTGATTTTTGGTCTATTCTATGTCCCATTCTCCCCAACTATGCCCCCAAGGTTCATGAGACAACTGCAGGTAATCAGGGTGGAAGCATTGGAATATTATTGTCATGGACATGAGAATCACAGACAGGTTCATATCCTGATTTCTGATCAGCTTTGTGACTTTGAGTAATTATATAACTCTGTGAGCTTGTTTTCTCCTCTGTGATTCAGAGATAATACCTACCTTGCAGGGTGGTGTGGTGAGGATTGAGAAGCCATCATAGTTAATCTTATCATTTAGTTCCAGACCTACTTTAATTTTTGCAGATACTGTTGATCTTTGCAGTCTTTTACTTCGTGTCTCTAGGAGAGAAAAGACCTGGGTATAAGCCAGAAATTGTATAAAGAGGTCCTGGATTCCTCTCCCAAGTAAAAGGCAGGTAAACTGGGCATGGTGGCACATATTTGTAATCTCAAGATTTAGAAGGCTGAGGCAGGAGGATTGCAAGTTCAAGGCCAGGCTCAGCAATTTAGCAAGACCTTGTCTAAAAATAAAAAGGACTGGGTATGTAGCTCAATGATAGGTACCCCTGGATTCAATCCCTAGTATTGAACATAAAAGAAAAGAATGAGTAAATGGGATGGGCTAGTAGTACAGGTAGACTCAGGCCGTGCTGGTGAGTAGATCAGACTGCTTTTTGAGGTTAATTGTCACTTGAACAAGAGTAATTCACCAAGGGCAAGTGATAGATTGCTTATATGGTAGAGTGAAGTCAGAGAGACCTCTATGGATCATGTTAGAATTAGGCTAAAGGGAGTGAAGGAGTGTATGTGTAGAAACACTTAATACTGAAGAGAGTAGGAGGAAGTCAGGAAGGTGGTACAGTAAAAGTCCTTAAGAGCTTGTCTGGATTTGACTAAATTTGAGCCCTGCCATTTGTTAGCCCCATAACCTTCAGCCAGTTACTTAATCTGTCCGAGATTTGCTTGCTTAAATTTATAAGATGGTGCCAAAAGTTACCTCCTTTATAGAGTTGTGAGGTAATTTTAAATTCTTGACAAATTTATTAATATTAAGTCAAGCCGGGAAAGAAAAAAAAGCAGTGATTATATAGTGGGAGTGGGCTGCTCCTATATATATAACTAACTGATAATGTCTGCCATTGATTATCTTTAAAGAAAAAGAGTCAGTAATGGGATCTATTATTTATAGATGTCCTAATGCTTCTTGGTGTGCTTGCTTGTTAAAAGCAAACAAACAAAAAAAGAGAAATATTTTCTTTTTGCTTATATTGGGAAATAAAACTTACAAAAAAAATCTAACAGGTAAGTTGCTACTTATGACTTTTATAGTTGAATGCTAAATTGTGGCTGCCTTTTCCCTGTACATGATTTCCTTTGAATTTCACTACAGATTTTTCAGTTTCTCTGTACTTTCTGTTCTGTGTCTTGTTGGATTCCTGGTTAATAGTTATTTCAGCATCGTTTAGTACTTATAAAACAAAAAAGATGAATGGTATGCAGCAAATATAAATTGATGAGGCATGAATGGAATTAATTTTAATGAGAAAATAAGTCTCTTAGAGGACTGAAGTTTTCTCAATTAAGAAGCCTATAACAATTCTGTCATGCTTTTCACATGGCATATGTCTTTATCTGTTAAACATAAGTGAACTCTGCTGGGTTAGCATTGTGACCTTCTGAAGATTTAAATCTGTGTTCCAGGGTTATCATAGAAGTCTTTTTGAATTATTCCTACTATTATAGTAGGTACATAGTACAGATGCCTTGTTGTACATTCTATCTTTTAGTACTGAAAACAACCATGAAGAGGGAATTATCATCCCCATTTTGTAGATGAAGATGACCAAGGCTTAGAAATTTTTTCAAAGTGACATGTCAGTTATTTGGAGAGGCAGAATTTGAAAATCAGATTTTGATTCCAGTTTGTGCTTTTTTTTTTTTTTTTTTTGTGGTACTTGGATTGAACTCAAGGGTGCTTAGCTTAGCCTCAGAGCCACATTCCCAGTCCTTTTTATTTTTTTATTTTGAGACGCTTCACTAAGCTGCTTAGGGCCTCACTAAGTTGCTGAGATTGGCCCCAGGCTTGTGATCCTCCTGCCTCAGCTTTCCACCCGCACCCTGCCAGTTTGTGCTTTTAAAATTTAACTCACCAACTGCCTGTCTCATCCATAATCAGAAAACTACAAAGCTGGCTTTCTGCAAAATGGCTAAGTTTGTTTATCGATGCTGCTCCTCTTCTATTCCCTTCCTTCAATTTACTGCCCAAGTTACTGAATAGAATCATATATAGAAAGACTTAAATTGAAGAGTCACCCAGTCTAATGGTTCTCAGCAAGTCATAATTATCACCTGGAACATTTATTTCTTTTAAAATTATGATGAAGTGGTTTGAGCTGGAACCCAGAAACTTGTGTTTTTAACCTGAGCTACCTGTTATTTTGACGGTCTCCTTGGTTTGGGGACCATTTCAGTTTAGACACATAAATCCTCCTCCCATCACTTTTGCCAATTTTCCTGACAGGTGGTCATCTAATCTCTGATATCCTTTTGTGACAGGGACTCACTGCCACCTTGCCAAAAGGTCATTTCATCCACAATTAGATGTAGTGCTATGTTTCTATAGTTTTCATTAACTACCCCATATGGATCAAATCAACAATTTTGGACAGATTTTTATACTCTTTGGGCTTAGCTTTGAGTTTAGATCCTGGTTTTAATCTTTTCTAACCCTTGCCTTCTTTATATTTAAAATGAGTATGTGAAAGATTATATCAAGAATTAGATGAAAAAATAGAAATGTCCTGAGTGGAAAGATTGTTGAATGCCATCAGTCTTGTCTTACAGTTTCCTTTCAGCCTCTTCTGAAAGGATCTCATATCTACAGTTAGAAGTGTATTCTAGTTAGAAGTGTGGTTATGATAGAAGGCGCCTAGATATTCATTATGGGATTGTCAATGCCAGAAATAGATTGTCATTTTGCCTCCTCATCAGCATACTTGTTTACTTCTGGCTTTTTCTGTGGAGAAAGAATATGATACTTCTTATGGGGATAGATAAGCCTGCATTTCTGGAAGTTCAGCTTCACTGCTTAAGTAATTAGAGCTTCCACTGATAATGTAAACCCAAAGCAAAACAAATGATCTGTCAGAAGACCTTAAAGGTAAAAGAAAAAAACTTGAGTTATAGAAACCAAACTGGAGAACAGCAATAAAAACCTATGTTTCTTTCCTATCCGAGGATAAAGAAACTAATGAGTGCTGTTCATTGGAGAGGGGTAAGTGATCTAGTGCAAGGCTGGATAAATTATACACTGTAGTTTGATTTGATTTAGCTGTTGAGATGTATGTCTTTTTTTGTTCTTGTTGTTGTTTTATTTTTTCTTGGTAGTACTAAGGATTGAACGCAAAGGTCTCTTACTACTGAGTGATACCCCTAGTTCCCCCCTTTTTTTTCTTTCCTATTTTGAGATAGGGTCTTCTTAAATTGCCCCGGCTAGCATTGAACTTACAGTCCTTCTGCCTCAGCCTCCCACGTTGCCAGACTCTAGCCTTTCTTAAAAAAAGCAATCAAAGTCTATTTTATAGAATTACCTTAGGCCATAAACTATACTTCCCATTAGGTTTAGACTTGAAGAACTTGTAGCTTATGGTCTCTGGTGGGCTGGAGTGAAATATGGTAGAACAGGTTTTTTTGTTTTTGTTTTTGTTTTTGTTTTTCCCCCTTTTTCACTTAGTTTGTAGTAGCTTTCCCTTTTCAAATTGTTTTTTACTTACACATTATGGAAATACTACTTTGAGTTAAAAATTTTTTTATTAGTGCTTTTATGAAGGTAATTTTAGTACTTTGGTCACATTTTTATTAGTGTATCTGAAGTATGGAATTTGTCACTCATAATATTAAAGATATCCATTACAATTACATTAAAATGATAATCACCTTTTCATTCTTCAGAGAAGTGAGTCTGTTTGTAAACTGAGTACTAACATTGTGGTTCTCCTCTGGGGGTGGGAGAAATTTCTATTCATTTAACAATGGAGGCATGGGATGGAAGGTAGAGGGCAAAGCTAATTCACTTGACCCTTTTGAATTTACTTTTTCACTTCATTTGAGAGAAAATCAGTGTCCATTAGTGAGGCATTGACTTTATAAAATATTAGGGAAGAGGATTCAATTTAATTAATTTTGGAAACTAGAATTAAATATAATAGGCCAAATCATTAGTCTTAATGAAAGGAAGGACTGTGTTTTTAGAAATATTTTTAACTTTCATTCATGTCATCAATCCACAGCAGGAAGCAAATGATTTGGTATTTACTTTATGAAGTAATTTTATGTATCGTCTTGTTCTGTGTTTTTATTTTTAGGACCGGAGTAGGCCCTATGACACTTTTAACTTGCACTCGTTGGAGAACTCCTTAATGGATATGATAAGGACTGATCATGAGCCTCTGAAAGGTAAACACTACCCTCCCAGTGGCCCACCAATGAGTTTCGCTGATATAATGTGGAGGAATCATTTCGCAGGTTAGGAATATTCATATGTCCATTCCTTGCTTGGTGTTTTAAGCAAAAATCAGCTTTTTAATAATTGTGATTTTTTTGTTTTGTTTGTTGTTTGTTTTGTTTTGCTTCTGTAAAGCTTTGTGGAATGTATTTAAAATTGATTTTTGTTTTTAACCTGGGTTCAGCTACCTGCAATAATTAAGGTTGATTGCTTTATTCAGTAATGTCTGGAAGAAGCATGTGTGGGTTAGCTGAGGTCATGGTTATAGCATGAGACCAGAAGATAAATTTTCTGAGCTTTGGGCATTTGGAAACCTAAATTTGCATAGTTCATTTAAGTCAAGGTATACTGCAAGGAAGTATGAAATTTAGTAAATTAGTCTTCAAAGACTACTTCAGAAAGCTTTGCATAAAAGGATTCCTTTTAATTAGAGTATTATCACTTTCCTATAGGAAGTATTATAACACAGATTTAAGAACAGCCAGTGACCCTTTGCATAGTTTGAAGCTAAACCACAAGAAAGATATATAAATGTTAAAGTATATAAATGTTTTGGGTTAAATATAAGGCAGAGAGTCTCAAAGGTCAACAATATTAGGACTTCCTATTTTAGAGTTCATATAAATTTAGGACAGATGTTGCATTTATAATTACATATCATTCCTTTTATGGATTATAGGATTTTTTAGGTACCCTATAAAATTTTAAATACTAATACAAATTTTCTGTGGAAATACCCCACTTAGGTTAGGACCTAAATATATCTGAAAACTGTGAAGAGTTTGCCACAGGGATGCCCATCTAATGTGAACCTTGGTTCTTTCTAGGCCTTTATATAGGGTGTGACTGACTATGAACATCTGACACTTACTTCTTCAAGACACATCAGAAGTTCATTCCATCATTTTCTTTTTATACTTATGATTTTCTGCTGATTTTCTCAGTTTTCAGTGAAAAGTAGTAGTTATAGTAGACTAAAGAAAGTAAAAGATTTTCAGAAAAGCTAGATATATATTTTTAAATATTTTTGGGGGGCTGGAGATGTGGTTCAAGCAGTAGCACGCTCGCCTGGCATGCGTGCGGCCCGGGTTTGATCCTCAGCACCACATACAAACAAAGATGTTGTGTCTCCCAAATATTAAAAAAATAAATATTAAAAAAATTCTCTCAAAAAAAAATATATAATTTAAAAAATGTTTTTAAATTGTAGATTAACACAATACTTTTATTTTATTTATTTGTTGGTTTATTTATTTTATGTGGTGCTAAGGATCAAACCAGTGCCTCACATGCACTAGGCAAACACTCCACCACTGAGCTACAACCCCAGCCCCAGAAAAGCTTTATTTTAAGGCCTTCAGAAGCAGGAAAAAAAACCCATTATTATGTTTAGTTATTGTTACCACATCTTTCTTCAGTTAAAGATTAAGTACCTGGTAATTTAAAGCATAATTCACTTAGAAGTGAGAAAGATGTTTAAAAAAACAACAACAACAAAACATTCACAGTCTATTTTGCATTTTTAGAATATTCTAAGGCTACATATGTCATCCTTCTATAGTATAAATAGCTATAAGCCTTTCCTATTTATTCTAAAATATTCAACTCCTGTTCTTTTATGCATACATGTCTTATTATGGGCTGTATTCTTTTTGACTTGCAGTAAAAGATTATGAAAGGTTATTAGATTGTAGTCTAAAATAATTTACCAGAATTTTGTGTACTTAGGTTAAGCAGAAGCTATTATGTTCCGTTGAGCAGTTCGTTTCATCGAACTGGCATTGTGTAAGGAGGGAACCTCACTGTGGGGTAATATAAATACCTGATTCTATATGTGGTGGTCTTTTTTATTGCAGGCCCAACTACCTCTGCATAGCCTTCCTTATTAGCAGTTATGAGGTTTTGTCTATAAAAGCTTGCTGCACTGTGCTTATAATAAATATATTCTAATAAGTTGAAAGACACTTCATGCACACTTTCTTATAGCCTCCTTATGGTTGCAGTTTCCCAGTTCATCATACTAATTACCACAGTGATTTCATAAAAATGGACTACTTTCTTGTGATCAGTGATATCAATATGTCATTGTCCTTTGTGCTGCGGGGTGTTTGGGCTTCCTGTTTCCCCTTTATAGCCAGGGGAGTTTTAGATCTGATTTATAGCATCGCATTTGGTCCTTATCACCTATTACCATAATGAATGATACTTGCACCTTAAAATGTTTTAAGTAATATTAGTTTTAAAAAGTAGCGAAAACTGTTAGAACTAAAAGGTAAATAAATAAATAAATAAATAAAGCATTGTGGCTAGCCATGGTGGCTCATGCCTGTAATCTCAGCTACCCAGGAGGCTGATGCAAGAGGAACACAAGCTCAAGGCCAGCCTGGACATCTTAGCTAGATTCTGTCTCAAAATTTAAGACATTAAAAAGGACTGGGAATGTAGCTTAGAGATAGAATGTCCTGTGTTCAATTCCCAGTACTGCAAAAAGAAGGAACCAAGCAAGCATGCATGCGTTGTGATGGTGTGTCCTTTAGTTTTCTATTTCCCATATAGTAAATATTATCCATGTTTCTCTTTGATCTTTATAATTTCTTAATAGGACTTATATTGGGAATTGTAGGTTGTTTACAGTTTTTCCTTTATTATAGATAATGCTACCATGAATGAGTTCAGACATATAGCATATCTTTAAGGTAAATTCATAGTGATGGTCTTTGGGTCAAAAAATGTAAACAAATACATGGATTAAGCTTTAAGAGAAGTATGGGGGTGGGGGTGTGGCTGGAATTGTGGCTCAGCGGTAGAGCGCTCGTTTAGCACGGGCGGGACCCATGTTCGATCCTCAGCACCACATAAAAATAAAGGCATTGTGTTGTGTCCATCTACAGCTAAAAAATAAATATTTTAAAAAAAGAGAAGTACAATAGGCTAGGGTATCTACTGTGTGACTTCTCTATGGGCACATCCAGAAACACTTTTCGTTATTCCATCCTATCTTCAGTGTCCCCTGCCTACACTTCAGCCTAGAGTCTTCTTATTCCAGTTGAATATAGGAACACTATTTTAAGGGTCTCAGATCTCAAGTACAGGGTGGTGGAGTTTTGTTTTCTTTGTTTTTGTAGCACTGGGAATTGAACCCAGAGCTTCCCACATGCTAGGCAAATGCTTTACCACTGAGTTTACACCCCCAGCCTTTTTAATTTTATTTTGAGACAGAGTCTGACTAAATTATCCAATCTGATCTAACACCTGTGATCTTAGTCTTCCAGGTGGCTGGGGTTACAGGTGTGTGCTACTGAGCCTGCCTAGTAATTGTCTTTTGTATGTTTCTTTGTCTTGGTGGTTTTTTCCCTAGAGCTCAATTTACTTTTTCTTCAGGGGAGAAAAAAAAAAAAGAAAAAGTGCTGGTGATTGAATCCAGGGGTACTCTATCATTGAGCTACATCACTAACCATTTTTAAAAAATATTTTTATTTGAGACAGGGTCTTGCTAAATTTGCTGAGGCTGGCCTTGAACTTGCAATTTTCTGCTGCAGCTTCTGGAGTTGCTGGGATTACAGGCAGGTGCCACCATACCCAGCTGATCTCTGCTCTTATTTGTAGTAGATTGAAGGGAAAGCCAGCTCTTCTCATATCTATGATAATTAAGGGGATTTCTAGTGTTGAAAGAAGTAGGATAGGAGAGGAAAAGGGCTAGGGATAAAACTCAGTGATAGAGTGATTGTGAGCATAGATTTCATCCCCAGAACCCCCACCCTCAAACATACACACACATACACAGAGGTGATGTAGTGGCTCACATCTGTAATCCCAGTGACTTGAGAAACTGAGGTATGAGGATCACAAGTTCAAGACTAGCCTCAGCAATTTAGTGAGACTCTTAGTGACTTAGAACCTTTTTCAAAATTTAAAAATGGGGGCATGTACCAGAGTGGTAAAACTCCCCTGGGTTCACTGCCCACTACTCCCCTGACCAAAAAAAAAAAAAAAAAAGGTAGAGGGAAGATTCATCTCTATACAGTCTTTATAGTTGTCCCCTGACTTGAAAACCTGATTTCATTAGTCATACTCTCTGTACTCTAGAATAATAAGGGAATACCAACTTCAGTGTGCTGGCAGAGTTGGTGATACTGGGAAGCAAAGATCCTATCCTCTAGCTAGGGAGGCACTACATCTAGTCAGAAAACAGGGAGGGAGTCACTTTTGCTTTATCCTGAGCCATTTCCTTAAAATAAAAGATCTGGCTGACTGGGAGTAGGGGCTAATGAAGAGTTTTAATAATATATTTGAATTTTCTGTTCCTTTGCCATTTGTGAAACTTGAAAAATGAAAAGAGCAGGTATCAGTTAAGAACTGATATTGAGGGTCTTGCTTTTCAAAGGTATACTAAAACAGAGGAAAAACCAGCGTATCTTCTGATAATAGTGCTTTAGGTACATTTAAATTGACAGAAACTTGGAAGGAGTGGATGCTATCCCTTTGTTGTTACAAAGGCATTTTTATTCATCACAATTTAAATTTAGTATTATAGAGACTTTCACAAAATTGTCCCCCTTTTTTGGAATTTTGAGATTTTCTTGTAAGAAAAATGCATCTTCACTACATTTTGATGACTGACTTCCTGGATGTTCCAGAAAAATACATTGTCTCTTTACTTCTGATGCTTGAATCATTGCTTAGTTTTATTTTTGTTATCTCTCTTTAGCCTATCAGTGCATCTTGTATAAAATTAGCAGATTCCACCAGTGGTAGAGCTTTGCCAGTAAGCATGAGGTCCTGGGTTTGATCACCAGTACCATGTATAAGTGCATGCAAGTGCACATGTGCAAATATATACATGCACTTGAGCGCAGGCACACACACACACACACACACACACACACACACACACACACACACACACACACACACACACACACCAGATTCTGTAAACTATTAGGGGACTGGT